ATTCTCATCATCCACTCACCATTACTCTGGAACAAATGTAATTCCCTTGGTGTGGAAAGATGCCTGGTTGCTATCAACATCCCACTGACTTGAACATCTGGATCATTGGTACCTACATCTGGTTCATCATCTGCTTTGTCTCTGTCACCATGATAGTTTGACATATGAAGATTATCTGTCACACTGTGTTCCTTCTGGCAACTGCACAGTTACACTTCTGCACTCGATCTTTTCATTGAGAACTGTCAACGTGACATCAGTCACCTCAATTTCACTGCCCCTCTCAACAAATCCAACCTATCTCCCTCCAAACTGACTGCACTCTGTGTACTCTGATCTAACCCTGACTTTGTCACCAAGCCTGCCGATAAGGATGGTGCTGTTGTTGTCTGGCGTACTGACCTCTACCTTGCAGAGGCTGAGCGCCAGCTCTCAGGTACCTCCTCCTACCTTCCCCTGGACCATGACCCCACCATGGCACATCAGGCCATTGTAAGCACTACAGTAACTGACCTCATTTCATCTGGTGATCTCCCCCCCTCCGCTTCCAAGCTAATAGTCTCCCAACCCCGCTCAACTCGTTTCTACCTCCTGCCAAAAATCCACAAACAGGACTGTCCAGGTAGACCCATTGTTTCAGCCTGCTCATGTCCCACAGAACTCAGCTCTTCCTACCTTGACTCAGTCTTCTCCCCCCTGGTCCAATCCCTACCCACATACATCCATGATTTATCTGATGCCTTACGCCGGTTTCAAAGCTTCCAGTTTACCGGCTCCAGTCACCTCCTCTTTACCATGGATGTGCAATCCCTTTACACATCCATTCCCCACCAGGAGGGTCTTAGGGCTCTCCGCTTCTTCCTGGAGCAAAGACCTGAACCATCCCCACCCACCACCACCCTCCTCCGCTTGGCTGAGCTTGTCCTCACCCTCAACAACTTCTCTTTCAACTCCTCTCATTTTCTTCAGGTAAGAGGCGCTGCCATGGGTACCCGCATGGTCCCTAGTTATGCCTGTCTCTTCGTGGGGTACGTGGAATATTCCTTCTTCCAGTCCTATTCCGGCCCCCACCCACAACTCTTTCTTCGATACATCGATGATATCATCGGTGCTGCTTCCCTCTCTCATCAAGAATTGGAAAACTTCACCAATTTCACCTCCAATTTCCACCCTGTTCTCACTTTCACCTGGTCTATCTCTGACTCCTCCCTTCCCTTCCTCGACATTTCTGTTTCCATTTCTGGGCATAGACTGGCCACTAATATCCATTACAAACCCACCGACTCCCACAGCTACCTGGACTATACATCCTCACACCCCACTTCCTGTAAAGACTCCATCCCATTCTCTCAGTTCCTCCGTCTCCGTCGCATATGTTCAGATGAGGCCAACTTCGATAAGGGAACCTCCGAAATGTCCACATTCTTCCTCAACCGAGGATTCTCCAGCTCCGTTGTCGACAGGGCCCTCAATCGGGTCCAACCCATCTCCTGCACTTCTGCCTTCACCCCTTCTCTTCCTTCCCGCAACAGCGATAGGGTTCCCCTTATCCTCACCTACCATCCCACCAGCATCCACATCCAGAAGATCATCAGACGCCATTTCCGCCACCTCCAGCAAGATGCCACCACCAGACACATATTCCCCTCCCCTCCCTTGTCCACCTTCCACAGGGACCATTCCCTCTGGGACACCCTGGTCTATACTTCCTTCACCCCCAACACCTCCCCACAGCCCTACGGCCCTTCACCTGTAACCGGTGAAGGTGCCATACCTGCCCATTTACCTCCTCCCTCCCCAGTATCCAAGGGCCCAAACATACCTTCCAGGTGAAGCAACACTTCGCCTGCACTTCCAAGAATCTAGTCTACTGCATTCGTTGCTCACAATGTGGTCCCCTCTACACTGGGGAAACAAAGCGTAGACTTGGCGACTGCTTCACAGAACATCTACGTTCTGCTTGCAAAAAAGGCCCTGAACTACCTGTTGCCTGCCACTTCAATGTACCACCCTGCTCCCTGGCCAACATCTCTGTCTCCAGCTTGCTACAGTGTTCCAGTGAAGCCCAGCGCAAGCTGGAGGAACAACACCTCATTTTCCGCTTGGAGCCCTCCGGACTCAATATTGAGTTCAATAATTTTAGGGCCTAAACTCTCCCATGTCCCAGACCCCACCCCACACACCAGGCCTTGTTACCACATAGCCTGCCATTACACACCCCCTGTTGTTAGTCACTAACAGTCCCCATTAACAACTATTCACCCTCCCAGCCTGATCGTTAGCAACTCCTTTGTCTGTCCAACTGTCTTTCTCTCTCTTTTGGGCTCTATCCTATCGGTTACTCCCTACCCCACCCACCTCCCTATTTTCTGCATATAAACTGACGTTTTCCCAGCCACCATCAGTTCTGAGGAAGGGTCACCGGACCTGAAACGTTAACTCTGTTTTCTCCTCCACAGATGCTGCCAGACTTGCTGAGCTTTTCCAGTAACTTTGTTTTTGTTGCACAGTTACACTGTTTACTTCTTGGCAATGACAGTATATGGTTTGAGGTAAAATGATGTATCTAACTTGCTCAGACTCTCCTGTCTCACCAGTTATTTATAATGGAGCATCACATCAGACTTTAGCCCTTCTTCTCAGCATTACGATTTTGAATTTCCTGATCAACACGCGTGTCTGTCATCTCTGACAATTTCTTGTGTATCTTGCATCCAAATAATAATTCAGCAGGGCTGTCTTCCATTGTAGTGTGTGAACCTCCTCGATACATGGCCATATGTGATAACATCTTGTAATTTTTGGTGTCAGCCTGAGCAATCCTCATTCATTTCTCAAATAGCTGGTATTGTTGTTTCACTTTCCCATTTGCTTGTAACTATTTAAGGATTTCTCAGTGATGAATGTCTGTGACTTGCATTTGATTGAAACAGGTGTAGAATATTAATTAGGGCCCAATATCTGAATAGCAAGTGACTGGTAGACTATGCCTTACAAATACTTTAATCAGTGTAAGCACCATTTTATCCACCTATCGGCTTTATTACCAGGTACTCATTATATTAATTATTGTCAATTTTCACTAATATGGACTGAAGGAAGTGGGTGTACGAGGACAACCACCATGTACTCCTGTGATCCTACAGTTATCAGTGTGTTGCATACTGCTTCTGGTATATTCAATGCCTTCTCAAGTTGATATCCAGGACATGTTTTGATAAAGTGTTCCACAGGTTTTTCTGTCTCTGGCCACTGTACTTTTCCTTTACATACCAACCTTTCCCAAGTCACTGTAATCAGCTAGTATCATCAATCTTGGCTGAAATTTTTGTGATATATTAGAAAGATCATCAAATGAGGCCGTATGGATTGATTTAAAGAATGTAAGAGATGTCACACACTAAGACAGTACAATAGATCACTAAACAATTGGAAGGAGGTAGAAGAGCAATTGTGTAAGTGAATCTCTGGAAAATGCTAAAACAACAGGGAACTAATCATAGGAGATTTCAATCATCCCAATGTTAACGAGGATATTTTAGTATAAAAGGAATGGAGGGAACAGAATTCTGAAAGTGCATTGAGGAGAACTGTTTTTGGCTTGTACATGGTATGAGTTTGTCTACAACAGCTTGGTTTATCTTTACACCAATGCTTATATTATCTCCTGTATTATAAGAAATTGGGAGTAGAAAACATGGTATTGAATAATTCAACAGACATGTATTTCAACTAATTATTCTATACAAACACAACATTCATCAGGCACATAACAGTTAAGGTTAACATTATGTTGTTAAGTTAGCACAGAACAGCATGCTTCCAATAAAATGTCAAGCTTCAATTGATCCATGATAAGACAGAGTATGAGATCTTTGTACCTCACATTGCATGCTACGATACAATGATAATATCATGAGAATCTCTCTTAAAGAAGTACTAACCATGAGACATAGCAAAACAGTATGTAACAAGTCCAACAAGGGAGGGTGTGAATCTGGACATAATTTTAGAAAGGAAAATTGGGCAGGTGGAAGGAGTGGTAGTAGGGGAGTATTTTGGTGATAATGATCATAATTCTGTTTGTTTTGACTATGATTAAGGAATGGAGCAACAATAGAATAGGAGTTAACTTTTTTTAATATTTTTATAAGGCTAATTTTACTAAGCAGAGAAATGATTTAGCAAAAGTCAACTAGAAATAGCTACTTGAAAGTAATGTTCTAAGCAGAGGGAGACATTTAGTGGGGAACTTTAATGGCTTGAAAGTAAATGTGTTCCCACAAATGATGTAGAGGTGACAGTGTTGGACTGGGATGGATAAAGTCAGAAGTCACATGACACCAGAGTATAGTCGAGCAGGTTTATTTGGAATCACACAAGCTTTCAAAGTGCAGCCCTTTCATCAGCTGGAGCCTAATCACTGTAGTTTATCAACAGTTTGACTTTTGTATGTTCCAACACCAGAATTGTAAAAGACAAGAGAGATGGTCTTTTCTTGTCTAGCAATATCCATGTTTTTATGCAATTCAGGTTCAACTGAGCTAATTGGAAGTTAGTTATTAAATAAATAAAATAATGTTTAATTTAATGATGTTTATTTGCCCACGCGCTGGCACAGGTCAGGAAATGCAGGTGTATCAGCTGATGATTAAAAAATTGTGATTAAAAAATTTGCTGTACCTCAATGGCTGAGATACCCTGGTTAAACTTATTCATGAAGACTGGCCACATGAGGGAAAAGTTGCTAGTTCTTCGAGAGCAATGTTTCATTGTAGCGTTTTGCTTTCAAAAGGAGAAAAGGGTAGAAAATTGGAAAATAAAAGAGCATAATCTTCTAATCCAGGTATTGCTATTTATTTTTAAGGTGTGTAATTAATTTGCTATACTGCTTGAAACCTCCCTGTGCATAGACAATGTAATTAACGCCAAGAATATATAGTAAAATGCATTTGATCCCTTGGCATTTATTTGACTTTGTTTTTATTTTTAATCTGCAGGTGCTACTTTTTAATGATCAGAATTATGGCATTCACTACGAATACACAATTCCGATTGAGCCAGGTCCCGGAAATCACAGTGCAAAGGCTAATGTTCCTCTCTTTATGTGGACTCATTCTGGCTGGGAAGATTGCGGTGCCATGTGTGGAGGAGGTTCGGAAATAAACTTTTTTTTTTACAATTTATTCTGAAAGTGACACTTGCAAGGTAACATTAGTCAAAAATCATCCTATAGGCCACATATGAAGTCATGCAAATGTATTTCCTGTCTGAACTAGAGACTGCTTTTCAATTAACATTATTAAACGTGAAATAAAAAAATACATAGCCTGACATGAAATATAAATAAGAAAATCCAACTTAACTGGATCCAAATTTGTAATGCACAAATAAATTTCATCTGTTCTAGTTTCTCATTTCTCTTTACAGCTTATCTATTAATGTTAATTGACAAGTTACTTTAAGTAAGTTCATAACTAGGGCAGAGATTTGTTTTTTAGTTGTTATTGAGGAATAGCTGGGGAAAGAAACATTTGATAAGAACATTTATTGCAGCTAGTTCAGGTTCCTTCCAGCCAGTTAGAGGGGCAAACATAATCATGAATTTTGACTACCTTTTTGAAAATGTTGGCATTTTTTAACAGTACAAATGTAAAATCAAATAAATGCAAATCTCCTTAAATTCTGGTCGTATATGTCACAATTTAACTTGATTACGAGTAGTAATGGAGTCTTCAACTGGGCAGTAATCTGGCAGAGGGAATCATTTGTATGCTTTAGAAATTAATGGGATGAAGATCAGAGGGAATCGACAATGATCAAGTGATCCAGTCTCTCAGGTTACCACCCAGGCAAAAAGACTGAAATTCATCCCTTCAGCCATTTAGCTTTTGGCACAAAATTTCCACAAGGCTGAGAACTCAACTAACATCAGAAACATGGGCCAGAATGATTTGAATGATTTTCATCATAACGTGTCCTAATCAGGTCAGAATTAATGAATTGATGAATATGGTGAAAATAAAAGATTTGTGCATTGTAGGATGGGAAAGAAAATCAAACCTCACTATTTTATTAGAAGTTCATGATTTTATTTTGATTCTTCTTACATTTTCCAAACTGCAGAAGGATCCCATACCAAGACCATATTTGTAGCTTGTCAGGAATAGAGAGAGAGAAATCTGATTTGGTGAGTACTGGCTAAGGTTGAGTAATTAGTTCCTAGTTTACTGTTTGCATTTGGTAAGGATCAGAATGGCAGGAGAAGCCAGCCCCATGGAATGCCCCTCCTGCGGTATCTGAGAAATCAGGAACAGGAAGCGTGTTTAGCTGCAGCTTCTGATTAGCCACATGGAGTGCCTGGAGTTGTAGTTGGACTCACTATGGAGCATTCGTGGGGCTCAGAATGTCATGGATAGCATACTTAGCAAGCTGGTCACGTCACCAGTAAGGGTTACACAGACAGAGGAGAGTTGGCTGACCATCAGGAAAATTAGTAAGTGTGGGCAGGCAGTGCAGGAGTCCCCTGTGACCATTCCCCTCTGATACAACCACATTGTTTTGGGTTCTAGGCCCAAAACGTCAGCTTTCCTGCTCCTCTGATGCTGCTTGGCCTGCTGTGTTCATCCATCTCTGCACCTTGTTATCACTGTTTTGGGTAATGTTGTGGGTGGAATGGCCTCTCAGGGGGAAGCAGTCACAATAAAGTATGTGGCAGCATGGTTGGCTGTGCTGCACAGCAGGAGGAGGGAATAGACTGGGAGAACTATACTGACAAGGGACTCAATTGTAAGGGGAACTGACAGGCGATTCTGTGGCAGCAAACAAGATTCTCGATTGGTATGTTGCCTCCCTGGTGCCGGGATCAGGGATGTCTCAGAGTGACTGCAGGGCACTCTGAAGGAGGAGAGTGAACAGTGAGTAGTTGTGGTACATGACAGCATCAATGATATGGGTGAAAAAAGAAATGCAGTTCTGCAACAGGAGTTTAGTGTCAGGTAGTAGGTTAACAAAAACTCAGCAGGTCTGACAGCATCTGTGAAGATAAAATCAGAGTTAACATTTCAGGTCCGGTGACTCTTCTTCAGAACCGGACATGGGCATGGTCACCGGACCCCAAACATTAACTCTGATTTTTTCCTTCACAGATGCTGCCAGACCTGCTGAGTTTTTCCAGCAACTTCTGTTTTTGTTCCTGATTTACAGCATCTGCAGTTCTTTCAGTTTTTATAAAGAAAAACTTTATTGAGGTTGTAATCTCCGATTACTTCAGCACCACATGCTACTGGGTATAGGAATAGGATGATAGGTCAGATGAATGCATGGCTAATAGGATAGTGTAGGAGGGAGAGCTTTAGATTTTTGGATCATTGGAACAGTTTCTGGGGTAGTTGGAACCGTACAATCTCTACAGGTTGCCTCTGAACCAGCATGCGTCCAATATCCTGGCTGTGGGGGGTTTATTTGAGCCACTGGGGAGGTTTTGAACTAATTTGGCAGGGAGATGTGGCGCAAAGTAGATGTACAATTGGGAGCAAGGTCCAATCAGATATAGAAGGAATGCTATGTCAGTCCAGTAGGCAGAGAAGACATTGGCAGGATAATGCATATCGGAGAACTGGAGAGCTAAACTATATCTATTTTATTGTAAGGAGCTTAACTGGTAAAATGGACGAACTTAGAGCATTGATCAGCACGAGAGGATATGATATTGTTGCAATCACTGGTTAAGAGACATGATTGAAGGGAGGATAGGAGTGGGAGCTCAACATTCCAGGATAAAGAAGTTTCAGACTTGATGCAAGTGGGGGGGGTGGGAGGATGTAAGAGAGGTGGGGACATTACTTTATTGATAAAAGAGACTATCATCGCAGTAATAAGGGAGGGCTTCCTAGAAGGGTCTTCAAATGAGGCCTTCTGGGTAGAGTTTAGAAATTATAAACAGCAATTACCTTTCTGGGATTATAATACAGGACTCCCAACAGTTAGAGTCAGATAGAGGAGCAGATATGAAGGCAAACCACAGAAAGGTGTGAGAGAAATGGGGTTATAGTTGTAGGGACTTCAAATTTGGTATCCTTGCACCAGCAGCGGGAGCAGTGAGAGCGAGGACCAGGGGGCTGCCGAGAAGGTAAGTTCTTCATTTTGGCAGCAGAGCTGAGTGGGAGCGGTTGAATTGCGCTCTGGGAAGGTGAGTGAACCGATATACTTGGGCAGTGGCTAAACCCAAGACACTACATGTGTAGTGTGTCCCACCAGCCCTCCTCCTCTAACCAAAAAAAAAGACTCTGTGGTGTGTTGATAAGGAAAGGTTTTTTTTTATCGTGTGCTGGTAAGTAAAGTGATTGGTAAAAACTTTTTAATTTCATTTATCTATTATTTGATATTATAGTAGGACTAAGCTGAGCTTAAGAGTAAAAATGGCAGGAGATCCCAGACCCGTGTTATGCTCCTCTTGCTCAATGTGGGAGCTCAGGGACGCGGCTGATGTCCCTGAGTCCTACACGTGCAGGAAGTGTGTCCAGCTGCAGCTCTTGTTAGACCTCATGGCGGCTCTGGAGCTGCGGATGGACTCACTTTGGAGCATCCGCAATGCTGAGGAAGTCGTGGATAGCACGTTTAGCAAATTGGTCACACCGCAGATCAGGTTTGCTGAGGGAGAAAGAGAATGGGTGACCAGAAGGCAGAGAAAAAGCAGGAAGGCAGTGCGGGTGTCCCCTGCGGTCATCTCCCTCCAAAACAGGTATACCGTTTTAGTTACTGTTGGGGGAGATGGCTCAACAGGGGAAGGCAGCAGTAGCCAGGTTCATGGCACCGTGGCTGGCTCTGCTGTACAGAAGGGCAGGACAAAGAGTGGAAGGGCTATAGTCATAGGGGATTCGATTGTAAGGGGAGTAGATAGGCGGTTCTGTCGTCGAAAACAAGACTCCCAAATGGTATGTGGCCTCCCAGGTGCATGGGTCAGGGTTGTCTCAGATCGACTGCAGGACATTCTGAAGGGGGAGGGTGAACAGCCAGCTGTCGTGGTGCATATAGGCACCAATGATATAGGTAATGAACGGGATGAGGTCCTACAAGCAGAATTTAGGGAGTTAGGAGCCAAGTTAAAAACTAGGATCTCAGAGGTAGTAATCTCAGGATTGCTACCAGTGCCACGTGCTAGTCAGAGTAGAAATGAAAGAACAGGCAGGATAAATGAGTGACTTGAGAGATGGTGCAGGAGGGAGGGGTTCAGATTTTTGGGACATTGGGACTGGTCCTGGGGGAGGTGGGACTATTACAAATCGGACGGTTTACACCTGGGCAGGACTGGAACCAATGTCCTAGGGGGTGCTTTTGCTAACGCTGTTGGGGAGGGGTTAAACTAATGTGGCAGGGGGATGGGAACCAAATGAGGAGGTTAGTGGACAGTAAGGAGGTAGTAACTAAAGTCTGTAAGGAACTAGGTAATGAAGTCAGTGTGACTAAGGGGAAGAGTAGGCAGAGAACAGATGATGAACATAAAGGGACATGTGGTCTGAGGTGCATTTGTTTTAATGCAAGAAGTGTAGTAGGTAAGGCAGATGAACTTAGGGCTTAGATTAGTACCTGAGAGTATGATGTTATTGCTATTACTGAGACTTGGTTGAGGGAAGGGCAAGATTGGCAACTAAATATCCCAGGATATAGTTGCTTCAGGTGGGATGGAAAGGGAGGTAAAAAGGGTGGAGGAGTTGCATTACTGGTCAAAGAGGATATCACAGCTGTGCTGAAGGAAGACACTATGGAGGACTCGAGCAGTGAGGCAATATGGGCAGAGCTCAGAAATAGGAAGGGTGCGGTAACAATGTTGGGGCTGTACTACAGGCCTCCCAACAGCGAGCGTGAGATAGAGGTACAAATATGTAGATAGATTATGGAAAGATGTAGGAGCAACAGGGTGGTGGTGATGGGAGAGTTTAATTTTCCCAACATTGACGGGGATTCACTGAGTGTTAAGGGTTTAGATGGAGCAGAATTTGTAAGGAGCATCCAGGAAGGTTTTATAGAGCAGTATGTAAATAGTCCAACTCAGGAAGGGGCCATACTGGACCTGGTGTTGGGGAATGAGCCCGGCCAGGTGGTTGAAGTTTCAGTAGGGGATTACTTTGGGAATAGTGATCACAATTCCGTAA